AATATTTTATGTTTAAATATTTAAAAAAATTTTTAATTTTATTTTGTTTTTTTATTTATGTATTTATTTTTTTATAATATATATAGTATAATATATATAGTATATATATATATATGTATATGTAAAATATGGTAAAATATAGTATATAATATAGTTAACCCTTAGTCCCGACGGTTCTTTTCGGCACCTTTAATTCCGACTCATGGGTCGTTTGCGTCTTTGCGTTATTTGGATCAGTAAAAACGCTTTAAAAAATCTGAAAAAATTCATGGAGCTTCTTTCAACCTTCAACTTGAAGTCCCAATCATAATATTTCGATAAAAATTATTTTTTTATATAGTTTGTTATTAAGAAATAGAGGTACCTACAGCACTTTGAAATTTCGCTTGAGTCGAAAACGACCCATGAGTCGGGACTAAGGGTTAATTATATATATGACAGCTTTTTTTGAAAGATATCTTTTGTAATATATACGACAGCTTTATGTACAAGAGTTTTATTGAAGAGTTTTATAGAAATAGTGTACAACTTTTTTTATAGTTAACTTTTTACGCCGAATATTGCGAGAAATCGATTTATATAAAAAAATTAGGTTCTATTAAAAAAAATGAAGATGATCTTGATATCTCTGAAGCGCCACCACTTGAACAAAAATTATTATCGCCATATGATATATATACAGGGTGTTTTAAATCAAACACAGGTCCTTGAAGTGGTGGATAGATCTTGATAACGTGAGTAAAAAATGTCCGTGCAAGAAAATTGTGAGATCAATAGTTTTTGAATAAAATACACTTGAAGTTAACCAATCACGGGGTTTGCATTTCGCGCCGTCAGAAGAATTTATTTCTTATACACAAGCGATTGTTTAAAACAATTGAGTTTTATTTTAATATTTACTAATATGAGAGTGTTAATAATAATTTCTAAACAATATGTAATTGATGTGGCAGATTGTATTGTAAACGAGAATGATTCATGCCGCGCTGCTCCTGACGGCGCAAAATGCGAACCCCGTGATTGGTTAACTTCAAATGCATTTTATTCAAAAACTATTGATCTCACAATTTTCTTGTACGGACATTTTTTACTCACGTTATCGAGATCTATCCACCCCTTCAAGGACCTGCGTTTGATCTGAAACACCCTGTATATTAAAAATTTAATTTTCTCACACATATTTCTCAATGTGTGATCATCACACATTGGTTGCTCATATAGTCACTGTATACTTCTTCACGTATTTTCAAGCATTGTTTATAACGGAAAATTGATCAAGTTTTTAATTATTATCAAGAGACACGGTAGTGTCTCGCGCCAAGTTCACGCGTAGCGCATAATTATATTATTCATGAAAATATGTCCGGAAAATGTGTCCGGATTGTACATCTTTTTTTTCATTAATACATAACAATTTAATTTTTCTTTGCTATTTTCTCACCTTTGTACAATACATGCAAATTGCAAAAAAGAAATGATGTAAAACATGGAGCAATCTTAAAACAAGTGTACTCTAAATGAGACATACTTTTTTGAAGCTTGTTTCAATCATCATACACACATGTCGTTTTTTATCAGACATTATTTCATCTTTGCTGGCCATATATTAAGGTGCTTCCAACGATATAAATATAGCTGCTAAAAATATAGAAAATAAGTAGAGTTAGATGTATAAAGAAAATATTGTAAAAACAGAGTAGGCGAAACAGTTTTTGTTTCATTTGACTGTACTTTCCGTAACGACGACATATGTTTATACAATATATGTTTATTATATATGTATATACTACTATATTCAATATATAATGATTTGCAAAAAAATAAAAAATGTAAGTTTATTTTACAAAACTAAAATTGGTTTCTAATTTTAAATTTTGCGAGAAAAATCATTATGCGCTATTGCTACTTCTTATTGCGTCTTTCCGCTTCTCACACACGATATTAAATTATGTCATTTTTGTCATAAAAATTATTCAATACAAATTTAAATACGATTTTTATAAGATATGTACCCAGCAAATACAGAACATTGCAGCAACATTGCAACATTGCCGCAATATTACTACAAAATGTTCTGTGTTTGTACTGGGTATCTAACTATATTCAATTTCTTTTGTAAATATGTTATTTGAAAGTAGTTTTCCTATAATTAAACAAAATTGTCCGATTTTGTCTGATTACTATGATCTATGAAAACTATAATATTAAGTAAATATATTGTTAAATAAAAGATATTTTAATAACTACATAGTAAAAAATTAAAAAAAATTTTGAGATATTGCCTTTTAACATTGTATATATTTATTTCTTAAAGTTTCAAATAAATCTTAAATAATTTAGAAATCGTTGGAATTACCTTAAACTAAAGAAGCGGGTCTAGGAGCATACCATCAATTTTTTTATAATTTCTTAGAATAAGAATAGAGATTGTGACAAAAATACCCGAATATAGAACGAAATATAAAAGATGTTCCTAATTCTGATATGTCAAGAATATAAAGAGACTTCAGCTGACTGTATTTAGTAAATTATAAAATTAAGCTTACCACTTGTATTCCATTCGGCGCGTTCGCCATTTATCTCACCCCTAAGGCACCTCTCAACGTACGTTAATGGGTCGAGCCTGGCAGCTAGAACCTCGCGCAAAAGCGCAATATAAGCTATAGCCAGACGTAAAGTATCGATCTTCGACAGCCTTTTCTCGTAAGGAAATGTTGGCACGTGGACTCGAAGCTCGTCGAAAGCCGAGTTGATGCTGCTAAAAATTGCAATCACACTGACAATTTGTTCATGCATATATGAGAAAAATATGAAAAAAATATATTATATATATAATCATATAAAGTAAAAAATGTTATTGTGTATTAAAAGACTCACCAGAGTCTTGCGCAAAGTAGGTGCAAGACGAGGACGGCAAGACTTCTATACACAAGTTAGAATTTAGAATTTTGGGTATAAACTATAATCTCAAATTTTTTTTTTATTACTTTAAAACATATTTAATTAGAAAAATAAATATAAAAATTTTTTGTTTATTGTTCTTACGGATATATTATCCGTAAATAATGTTTGAATTATTAAAAAAAATTATATTTAAAATCATTTTGTAAACTTTTTATATAACGGGAAACTTGTCCAATTTTTTCGCTATTGAGGAAAAAGACTTAAAGGGTGTTTCCATGAAATCTCATTTAGCATGAGTTATGCAGTGAGCTATATAACAATTATAATGGAATGAGTTTTGAAAGAGTAGCGATGGTTCATTGTGGAAGAAAAAGAGTTATATTGGATAGGGACGTCTGTTTCATGTCTGTCTTCGTTTTTAATAAACCCCTTCCCATACACGATAGTAAATGTGGAAGGAAAACAAACATTCCCCCCCTCTCCCCCACCTATTATTGCTGTTTACTATTGCGCCGCAAACTGCACATTGATTCTTAGGGCCATTCTACAATGAATTGCAAATGCTCCGTCGTCAGTCGCGAAGGAGCATTTGGCAACTATTAATTGAAAAACGCTATTTCTAGTTATTTCTGATAAGACGGAGCATTCGCGACTGGCGATTTACCCTATAAGGTATTATTACTAACGTATTTTTTAAAGTGGTTTCCCACTAGACCTATTCCACTGAAGATAATATTTTCTCATAAAAAGCGCGAAAAAATTTAATCTTTTTTATGTTTTATTTTTTTAATGAAAAATTCGTTATTTTTTGTCAGAGATTTTTTGGAGTGAGGAGGAAGGACTCCGTCTTTTTCTCTCTCTCTCTCTCTCGACCACGCGTAAAAGTTGTAAACAGATTCTTTTAATCAAATAATAACAGATTATTCACTTCACTGTTTGTAATATTAGCGGGGGCGTTGCAACCGTCTTAAGCGCCCTTATACTGGAAGCGGCTCGCGCGAAGCAAAAAAAAAAGAAAAAAAGGGTTCCTAAAATTCCTACTTTCACCGTTATGCCGAGTCATTGCAGACCAAGCGATCAATTCATTTTACATGTTTTTACACACTTAAAAAATTATTGACGTTTATTACAATTTTGCGCCCTACGCTGGAGTCATATATTGCGTACTATGCTGCAACTCCCCCGAATATTAGTTTATAACATCTAAAGAAGCATCAAAAGTTGTGAAACTTTAATTTATTATATTTCCTAAATCAATGCTGCCTCCCACTTGATTTTTTGCGGGGAATTATTCAGAACAACCTCCTTTTCAACATATTTAAATGACAACAAAGTCGGTGATGTGTAACCTAAAATGCTTATTTACCTTGCATTTATTTGTATTAACATATTTGAGATTTTACTTGCTAATACAAGCGCATACTTGGCATGACTTTCGTACAAGAACGAAGTTTCTGTTTTGGGAAACAGGATAATTTGATATTAAACAAAAATAAAATATAATTATATTTATAACTATATTTCTTTTTTAAATAAAATATGCAATGCATGAAATTTTACCATTTATACTTATCTTATTGTTTTTTATTTAAATTAGAAGTTTTTTTTATTTTATCTTGGAAGTTAAATATTTGCGCATAAAATTATTAATATCCCAGTAATAAAATACAAGCTAACAGTAATATAATGTCAATGTTATAATTTCCCACTCAACAATGTAACTGCAACATAACATGCTTTGTATGTAACAACTAGCATCCCCCGTCTCGGCTTCGCCCGAGATAATAGTGTGACCGAATCATACGTATTGGAAGTGATATTTTCCAAAAGTCGTTTAAAGGGACTCCAGTCATATTGTAGCGAAGCCTGAATCCACCTAAATATTGTAATGGTACCAGATTGCACATAAAAGCCCTCTACAAAGAACACTATCGAGGCCAAATTCTTAAAATATTAAAATAACAATAAATAAGTTGTAAGAGCAAATACTAAAAGTGGTAGGGATTGTCTACAAAAAATACATTTTACCCCCTTTCACCCCTTTAAAGGTAGAATTTCAAAAAATCCAGAAATTGATTTTTAGGCATTTGTATGAGAAACTTTTATAAGCAAAAATCAAGTCGATATCTCATATTGTCGATATCTCATATTGTATAAAAGAAATAAAGAAATTCGTAAAAATACATTTCACCCTCTTTCACCCTTTTAAGGGTGGAATTTAAAAAATCCTCCCTTAGTGAGCACTTACACCATGGTAGGAATATACCATCAAAATTTCAAGTCGATCGGTGTAGCCGTTTGGGCTGGGGGTTAAGTTAGTCAGTCAGTCAGTCAAGAAGCTCTTTTATATATACAAGAAGAAGAAGATTATATTGTTGAGTGGGAAATTATAATATTAATGTTATGTTACTTTGTGTTTACTGGGGTGGTATATGCCTGAGATAAGGACAAATTATTTAATTTTATTATTTAATTAGTTTTTTAAATTTCTTACCTGAGCATGCGTTTTCTTTCACGTATATTAGCGGCGTGTCGTTGAATTCTGTAGGGGCTACCATTTGGGTAATAACCCTCTTCTACGCCGCTCATCTCCGAGTCATTATGATCTGAAAAGTTTATATAATGTAATTTAATTGAAGGAGATTAACCATTTGATTACAAAAGTACTCCTTCATTTTCTATCTAAAAATTACTATTTATGTTATCGGCGCTCCTTTATTTTCACAAGTTTATAAAAAAATTAGTATAAGTGTAATCTGCGCTTTTCTTATTCTTATTCTATTTTCATGTTCTATGTATATGGAATTTGATATTATTTAATACATGATTACTTTAATAAAAAATGAATGATATCTTTTAATTTATTAACAGCTGCTCGACTTTTAATAATTATACTACAATTGAATGCAATCATTTTCATTAGTAATTTTCAAACAGCATGTGATAAATCTTCTCTTTCATTGTAGTAGTCAAACGGTTAAATTTTGCATTATGGTTATTTAACGTTTATTACCTGGTGTTGAAACTGGCATATGATAGTGCAAGGGAGAATGTGTATGTGGCGACGTATGTGTGATATGTTGCGTAGATCTGCCTGCATAAACGCATGAAGGTAATTCTGCCAAATCTTCTTCAGTAATATCGCTATTAGGCCCCACATAATATTGCGTACTGTAAAATTATAATAATGCAAAATTAATTAAAATAAAAAACAAACATAATCTCAACATATGATACATTTTATTCTCTTATTATAGTGAAGAAAAGCCAAGCATATGTGTATCGTACATATGTATATTTTGCATTTTTATTTATTTTTATTTATTTGCCATATAAGTATTTAATTGTGTAGAGTTATTAAAAGTTGTATTTTAGTGTAAAATTGTATTGATAAAATTTGAATTAATAATTAAGAATCCGATATTGTTTTCTGTTATACACATATTTCTTAAATATAATTTACTAAATATATCGATGTATTATTTAAATAGATCTTAATATCTGATGAACTAACTTAACATAAATATTTCTTATAAAATGTATAGTAAATTGTTTATATTATTAACTAAGTTTTGAGATATATAAAATGATATTCATATTTTTTATATAAGTCATGCTATAAAATTCATTATGTTTTTATTGTAAAATAAATGCTCTACCAATTGTCCCCTTCTCTCAACGATTTTTATTTATGCTAAACAATTATCTAGGTGTAACATTTTTACATACTGTAAATGATACTCTTTGTACTCGGTTAGACATTACACAATATAAGAACACAAAATCAATATAAAAATTTTTTTCGGATACTACAACTTGAAGCGTACTTCTATATGACACACACACACACACACA